TTTGAATATCGAATATTTACAGTTGATTGAAAATGTATTTTTAAATGCAAAACAACTTCCCAAAACATTGCGAAATGCAATATTTTATTTTGATTTTGTGGTATAAAAACGGGCCCAAATTAAAAATATGAAAGAATAACTGAATTTATTACATTATAGCGAATGAAAATCGGTTCTTAAATATTATAAAATTACTATTATTAGAATGTTTTATCCTTTCATATAAGCTTTTAATATCGGAATATTACAGAGTCTCGCGTCATTTAAGAATATGGTCAAGTTTCACTATTTATCTCTAATTAAGAAATAATTGCTGTCACGCCTACCTCTTTTTTTTACTGTATTTCGAGCACGGTTGCTTGGAAGAGATAGCTATTTAGCAATAAAGCATGTTTGTCTCCTTATCTAGTGTTATGTTCTGTTTCTTGTTTTGAGCTTATTAGTATTTGTTTCTTTTCAAATTGAGTTTCTTGCCAGTTCTTCTCGTTCGTTCTACGCTCTTGATTTGAGAACTGGGAGTAAATGTAAATTTAGAGTTTTTAGTTTAGTTAGTACGTACGTGACTTTTGACTTTAAGTCTGCATTAATTAAAAAGTACGTAGCCGGTAGTGATACGATTTCACAATAAAAGTGCTGAGTAACAAAACGCCAAGTCAGTGAATCTATTAACTCGTGATAGCGTTCCCATATGAAATATATTTGTTTCAGCACAGAAATTGATTTTGTATATCGGCTATAGAGTAATCAAAAATGAGCTATAATATCTGAAACTGTAGGTTTAAAGTCCATAGGTACATGCATATGTGGTGAAAATTTGAGGCGAAAATGCGAGGTGTGGTAATAGCTTCCGCAAGATACGTGAATGGGCGCTGACAGGGCTTTTTTCGCCGACCGTACGTTCAGTTGGAAACTTGATATTACGTATAAAAAGAGAACGTTTTTGCAGTGGATGATAAAAATTTTGGAATATCTTTTAAGCAGGTTCAGGTGCATGACAGTTTAAAATAAATGACCATATACCAAACTCAAATCCCCGAGAGATGGCGTTTTCTACTGTAAATTAAACTTAAGTGTTAAGACGGTATCCAGTGAAATCCTGTTTTCCCCCGTGGGGCATTGGGTGAAAACATTTGCGTGTTTATTTCACTGATAGGTTTTACAGGCAACTAGTTGATCAGATTTAGGTGCTCTGCCCGACTATAACTATGTTATGTTCTCCGGGATTCAAACTTAGGACGAATCATACTTAACGAAATGCTAGGCAACAATTTTAATCATTTATATTTTATCGTTTGTCATAAGATCGAGTCTCACTTCTCTCATTTTCTCTTATCTTCATCTTTTATTATCTTGCTATACTGCTCTTTGACGTAGTTATAAAAAAATATCAACTGACATTAAAATAGCGATTTTAAAAAGTGAAAAATCAATAAAGGCTCAAAGAACTCTAAATCGCGTGATTATAAAAATTAAAGTACAGTCGCGAGGACAAAAGCCAGGTTATTATTACACGCTATTGTCTTTTGTTAGATAGAATTTGCACGAAATATGAAAAATTAACCTATTAAAAATTACGGTTAGTGCTACCCCGTGTGGACCTGTATCTATGTTTTGCATTTCTTTTTTAAGGGACCAAACTCGTGTTATTATAACGTAATATTTAAAAACAAAATCATATTTAATTAATAAAAATAAAAATAAGTTGTATTTGAAAGACCCGATAGACTTTATTGATGTCGAAGATTATATATAATAGTATTCATTTAAAATATTTATTGTATTTAATTTAAAAATAGATTTTTGTTTGAAAAAATATGATATGGGCCGGACTGGAACCGACATCCACGACGTTTCGTGCTGTTGCTGTAACCATTTGAGCTAGCGCGTCCTATACGACATCGTCGATTTCAACCTTATTTTACTATTAAAGGTTGTAATTACATAACTTGTATTTATACAATTTTATAAACTTAACTAAAAGTAATTTAGCATAAACTGAATGGAAGAAAGGTTGTTCTTAAATTTTAAAATTTACTTTTAGACAGAATCTACCAACGAGTGAAATACAGATGTTATTTCCTCGTTGGTAGTTTACAGTTTACGCGAGAACACCTTTTCACATTTAAAATGCACGTGTAAAGCATCCAAAACGTCGGGCCTTCAAATAAGTTTAATTAATATATTCGGAATTCGAAACCGTTAAAGTTTATTCAAATCTTCCAACATGATTTTAATACGTCGTAAACTTCTAACGTCTATTCCGTTGAGGATTATAATTGTGTAACTACTACTATCTAGTGTGAAAGTTGAGCGGGTCGGTGGTAGATTGCCGAGTGATAGAATATGCATTGCTCGACTCAGCCTTACTAGTTGACTCAAGCAGACCCAACCGCTTCCATTCATGAATATTTTACGATTTCTAGAAAATTTTAATAACAGCAAAGCTTGATAATCCGACAAACATCCATTTAAGTAGAAATAATTGATACTAGGCTGTGTCTTTATGTAATGGAGGTATTCATACTAATATTATAAAGCTGAAGTGTTTGTTTCAACGCGCGAATCTCACCGTTGGTTCGAATTGAAAAAATATTTTTGTGTTGGTTGGACTATTTACCGAGAAATGCTTTAGGGTACAAAACTCGGATAAGGGAGAAGAAAATTCGAAAAATTGAGAAAAATTAATTTTCTTCTTTGTTGCTTGTGCTGCGAAACGGTGCAAGAAAGAAAAAGAGTATAGAAAAATAATTCTTCTTTAGCTAATCTAATAAAATGTTCGCGATACTACATGTCTATCTTTAGAGATTAAATCGCAAGAACGACACGACCGGACGAATCGTGAATCAGTTATAATATAAAAAGATAAGGAGGAGGTTTGCAAGAAAAAAATTTGATGCCCAAAATATAACTATACTACGCGGATGAAGTCGCCGGCACAGCTAGTATATAATATAAGTAGGATGTTATAGGATCTAGGAACATAAAGATAATTTTAGTAAGTGCTTTATTTTTTGATTTGTTTGTGTGTGAATAAAAAAGTTAAATTTACAGCAAATTTCAGCAATTTTTAAAGTTGTTTTTTATTGTTTATCGTATCGTACTATAAGTGCTCAGCGAGCCATATTTTCTGTGTAGAAATTGATTCTGGCGCTAAAAGCATGGAATCTTAGAACGGTACTATTGTAAATGTTTGTATAACTATACAGAGCGCTTCTAAATACATAACAAAAACAAATTTTGAGATCGGACCTCTCTCCAAGTAAAAAAGAAACAATTCACGCGATATTTAGACTTACTTCTGTATTATTCAATGCGCGAGTCGGTAAAAACACTGGTATTCATGAATTTTTCAAAAGTTTATGCGATTTCCTAAAACAAGTTATGTACTCACTATTTAAAATTGAAGTTGGACTAAAAACGATAATTAACATCGGGTTTTTGTTTTTATTCTTAACAGAGTTTTAATTCGGAATTTAGAGTAGAGGTAACTATCCATTTAACTGCGACATACAATTATATAACATTACATATTTTTTTTACGATAGAGATAACCTGGATTCACTTCATGGAAGGTAAACGTAATATGCTGTCAATCTATTTTAGCTTTGAATGCATAGACTGAAAACATCTTCTTCTGCGTATAGACGAAATTTCCGATATTCCTTCCAGCCATTTACCTCCAGATTTCCAAACGGAGTTAGAAAAATTATAAACATTTAGACACGTTGGGGATCGAATCCACGAGAACTGCTGATGCCGACATCGATACAGTTGGCTATCCAAGTTACTTTGGAGAAATATGTACGATCCGTTTTGATTCATGCCCTGCTTTTCTTGTTTTAGATAACTATGAATGCATTCGAGATCTACGAACTTTAATATTCCTTATCACTCGCCCTACTAACGTCATCTCCTTAGATCGTCACTTCGTAATAGCGTATAATTTGAATTATTTTAAAGTTATTCTATGTTCTTGTCCTCTAGATTATATTTTACAACGTTACAGTAACATAGCAAACACAGGATACGTTACAGCCTAATGGGCCGCGGCCTTAACGGGCGTTTTAGCTGTTACTATATTTTGCTTAGCACCGCGTATTAAAGTATGTCAAGTCCCTATGCTAGTTAGAAAATAGGGTACATTCATAGCATTGTAGCATAAATGCAGTACTTGGGAACAAAGCGTAGTTCTGAATGCGGACGGACAGCAGTTGGTCTGATGAATTACTTGTTGCTCAGATACGGAAAAATTGCTATAATGCATCCATTGTGCGAGAGATCTTATTGCTTTGATTCATGTGGAATCGCGCCAGAGTCAGATTAGCGTCAGTATATGTAATGAACCACTATTCACTGCTATTGCGGTTAACTATTATAAAAGTTGTGAACGGAGGCTTATTCAAAAATGACAATACCATCGTAAAATTATGTTTTTCTAGCACATTTATAATAATTAATTATAATAGAACTGGGACTGTGTAAAGGTTTTTGTACTATGTAAATCATATACTATCTGTAGTTCACGCGAGTAGTACACATTTAAATAAAACACTTTAACCGTTTAAAACACGATATATATTAGTTAAACTTGTTTCCTTGCAAATACCAACTTCGACCGAACAAATTTTTTACTTTGTCGTCAGAGACACCCTCCATCTTCAGTCACCCTGCGACCACGGCTGCTGCAAAGAATCCGAAACGACGGGTCGTAGTTTAAATATTTTTCAAACAAAGTAACTAATATATATAGCGTTTTAAACCGTTAAACTGTTTTATTTATATGTAAATCATTTCACATAAATTTATCATTATGTATTACATCTCATACATAGTTCTTTAAAAACCCTTTACAAGTATTTAAAGCAGTAACGCTAACATATAGAAGCGGTATTCTTTATCAGGGCTTAGACATGGACACATGTTGCATCACAAAGTTTATCAATATTGAGTATAGAGACAGCTGTAACAGCACACGGACATGCATTAACACTATTACATACCCAGGAAGTTGGCGGATATCTCGGAAAGGGTGCTATCGTCTTGGTAGCAACGTTGCTCGGTATTTCGTACTTGATACCTCGCTTCAGTCGTTGTTTCCTTCGCTCCCGAGATTTTGCTCTTATCATAAGAGCTGCCTGCATACTTGCCAGTTTTGTGGCTGTGTTGAGCGCTCACAGACAAACTACTAGCGGTATTGTCTCGAAACTAGCGGATACTATTTACACAAACACCGATATCACTTCAGTCGATCACAGTACGGATTAGCACTAGATATAGATTTAGAATTCGAGAGAGGCACGAGAAAAGGCGACGTACTAAACTAATTGAACTTTACTTAACGATATGTTAGGGCGATGGAAGCTAGCACGATTTGGCGGTAACAGTCATGTTTCGTTCCGTATGTCGAGTCGCAGTCTTTGGTTCTTCGCCTGCCACCGAAAGTTCCTCCTCGAGTGTCGCTTTTTCATGGCCGGCCCACTTCTTGCACTTTATTTTTTAACACTACAGAACACATTCTCGATTTGTGCTTTAAGCTAAAATTAATATTCGTTATTATATCAACACCGATTAAGGGCGGTTTTGCACTGTCTCACATGAATTATCATGCATTACCTACGCGTACAATGACAAGCTCTACTTAACATTAATATGACCCGGATATTATCGCAACAACATCCGGATCATTAACAGAAATCTAGGAACATTTAAAGCGAACAAATATTAATTAATCCTAGAAAATAGACCAACACGTGCGACGTTACTCCTCACGTCATAAAGTTAGGTCAAGTATCGCGAGACACCTTACACTAACTTAAGTTTAAAAATACACATTTCTCTGCGTAGGAACGAAATACAAAGAGTCAAAAAAATTCCGTTGTTACGATTTTTATCTCATGCTTAAGCATATCATCTTTATTATAAGTTAACAACAACTTATCAACAATGACTTACCCAAACTGTTACCCAACTTATGGTTATCACAATCTTGCTGTTAATATAAAGACAATCAACATCAAAACGACATCAATCTGTATTAGTAGTTTCAACAGTAAGCTGCAATATAACTAGAAACTCTCAAATGTGGTTTGTCAACCAACTTTGATTCAGACATTTAAGCTACCTTACCAGAGTTTGAATTCTATTATAACAGTTTATTTACAGAGTTAGGTACTTGACATATCAATGTTATTTATTACATAATTCAAGTTTCAGAATCAAAGTCTCAACATACACCCAACGCGTCCAGAGCTTTTAAACACATATATTGGTATAACATTTTTAAGTATTTGCAATCTAGACGCGTTCGTTCTTCCATAGTACAATAGCGACACCGAATTCTAACACTTACATGCTTTATACATACGGTTGATTCTACCTCGACGAGGTCGCATTGCGATGGCTCGGTGGCGGATAGCGGGCGGGGCGGTGGCGCGAGCAAGCGAGACTCCCAATGCTGGCAGGAGTATGCGCGGACGCCGCTCGGGGCCGGATGGATAGGGCTCCGCGAACGCGGGCTCGGCGGCGCGGGATGGCGGCCGTGTTGGCGCGCCTGGGCAACGCGATATTTACATTAATTATATCTATATTAGAAATATCCAAACCAACAAAGGTTAAATCGTGCGTCAGCGCGACGTCACGTGGCTCGACGTGGCTTGATGTCGAGCCACGTCGAGTCTGTAGTTTACGAGAATAGTACTCATTTAAACACTTTAACGGTTTATAATAGAAAATATTTCGGTTAAACTACAAATTATTTTAAATACGGGTCGATGTTTCGGATGCTTTGCAGCAGTCGTGGTCACCAGGAGACAACGTCGACGATAAACGTCGAGCCGTAATAAATTGTAAGCAATATTACCTAAAGGATTTCGCGTTTTGTACCGTTAAAGTATTTTATTGAAAAACACAAACATTATTTCGTATGAAACTCTATTACAAGAAATTTTTTTATGAACATTCTTGAGTTTTCTAAATACAAGTAACACAATTTCAAAAAGGGCGATGTATTTAAATGAGCTGTTTTATAATAAATCAACACATCGTGTTACCACCTTCATGGCCAATTTTAACCTGTTGCTTTTAGTAGTGTTTAACACGAGAGACTGTTAGTCGATTTTTAGTTATCACTTGCTGTTCTTTTTACTTACCACATAAGTCAGATTCTCGTCATATTTAAAAAAAGAAGTAGAAATATCGAAATTTCACCAAGTACTGAACCATCCTGACTCCTAGGCTAAGCGGTGTTAATTTATGTTTTATTTTAATTGTATTCATTTTTAAATACTGTGTGTAGTTTCCGCAGTACATTAGAAGTACACATTTAAATAAAACACTAACGGTTTAAAACTCGATTTTTTTTGCGTTTTAAATCGTTAAAGAAAAGTCGACGACAATATGCTCATGAGAGGTTATAGTGATAAGGCATCTTAACATCAGGCAACTTTACATCAGACGAAGCTCTGGTTCGTCTTTCATATTCTACCATAAATTAATATATTTACCTTTCGGCCCGCGAGCGACGCGCCGCCCGCTGCCGCGTACATGCACCGCGGGCGCGCGCACTCACCCGGCGCGCATAAGGCGGTCGCGCGGGTCTCTCGAGGGCCCGCTCCACCGCATCCGCGCTACCCACCTATAACTGACCGCAAACACTTCCTTTCACCTTAGGTACCGTCAACATAACTATTTACACAACCATCTTTATCATCAGCAAATAAAATTAACGTAGAATTAACAACACGAACACAACAGAACGATTTAGTTTCTCCACGCATGTAATTGAGATACAAACTTAATTTATCACTATACCCTTTCCCTATAAGACTTATTGTTTACAATACTTTGAGTTTGTACCTTATGAATAAAATAAAAAACACAAAATATATTTACTTCGACAAAACCAGTTCTTTACATACAAAAGATATGATATGCACCAAACCGTAATTTACAACTCCGAGATAATATTTGGAATGTACACGATTCATATGAAAAAGTAAGGCTAGCCAGATCTGAGGCGTACGCTGCAAAAACCGTTCAAGATACTCAAAAAATATGTATGAAAGAATGATTCCACTTTAAATGTTCTTGAAAAAAAAACTACGCTATATGTCTATCTTTTAAGATTATCTCGCAAGAACGACGAGAAGGGACGCGATCGACGTCGTATAAAATAGCTATTCTGCGCAGACGAAGTCGCCATAATACCAGCTAGTATATACATATAGTCAAGAATTTATAATATCTTATTTTATTTTAATTACAAACAAGGTTTCCTTTTCTCTTTTCTAATAGTTGTATATTTAATACTATTTTAAGATGCATTTTATATACTTTGTGTGTGTGTGTGCGCAATAAAGAGTCTATAAATAAATAATACCATTCGATCTCAAAGCTCGTGTACTACTACCTATACGGGTACTAAAAGTGCGGGAATCTCATATTTAATTTGTCTTTGCGTTTTTAATATTTAAGCTTATTCTACTATTTCAAAATAAAGCAATGCATTATGTTAGTCCAATACCATACGTGTTTATGCAACGCATTAAGCTCCTAATGACTAATTCGTTTACGAATTATATCAATATAATTAGCATACCGTGCCAACAATGTTAGCACGAAATATTACTATTAGATAAATTAATAGTTAATGTAAAAATAAATAAAATGTCCTCTATTTTTATTTGTAATATAAGCATATACTTGAAGCAGATAAGGCTTTAGTGAATACGTCTTTGTGTTTCACCCTTTTTATAAGATTAAAATAATATGAATCTTTTATGTTCCGCCCGCCAAGGCATATCGTTTTCATATTATCATTCATTTAGAAGGCTGACTTTGAATGGAACCTACGTAAAGTATATAACTTTAATGGAATAAATAATCCACTCGGCTCGGGATAAGCTGCTTTAATCTAAATTAACAACATTGTAACCTACGCCTATGTTAATACTTTAATTGGCTTACAACTTTGCAAACAGTCATTTCAGTGTAATTAGATTTTACATACATATTATGTTAAAAAACATCTGAAAGTGTTCTTACAAGAAGAAAGAAAAGAAAAATACACTCTGTCTTCAGTCTTTCAATTTTTCGTTTTTTATTGTCGGATAAGGCCGAACTTAGAGAAATGTCTTGCAAACGAATACCATATAATAAAAAATGATATAACACGATTTAAAGAAATATATCTAAATCTTGTTATTACAATAAATATGCTACATGTTTACTTAAATAATCCTTTTAAACCTATTAACATTTTTTTAATATATGAGTGATATAACTTGGTTTTTAAAGAAAATTCTAACTTTGCTTAATGTCCTAGCTTTAAAATGCAGTTTGAAAGCAATAAAATATAATTTCTAACGAACTGTGTTAAGGAGGTCATTAGACATTTACGTTTAAAGAAATAAAATATGATTTTCTTTTAGCACTTTCGTGACACAAATAGAGTTCATGGAATGCTGCGATTGACCGATAGTGCTTATTGTAAATTGCGACTACCCGAGGAATAATTGCTGGAAATTATTTTACCTATTAAGTCATTACTTAAAATTTTACAACTGAAATTACGTAATTAGGACATGAAATTATAATTTTCATTATACGATTTCGCAATTATAAACCTGGACCTCTAACTTTCTATTAATCCGAGATGGGTAAATATTTTATTTATTTGTTGTATATACTAGCTAGGTCACCGACTACGTCCGCGTAGAGTAGATATTTTGGTTTTTTGTATTTTGTTTTTTCCTTATCTTTATAAATTATAGTTGTTGCCCACGAAGTCAGTTGCATCCCGTTTTTCTTGCAAATTACAGACCATTTAAAGATCAATCATTCTTTTATACATTTTTTTTAGTATCTTGGACCGTTTTTGCACCGTACGCAAACCTTCCTCAATAAAAGTTCTAACTAACACAAAAAAAAAATTCAACTGAAACTAGTAGTTCTTGAGATTAGGGCGTTCAAACATACAAACCAGCAAACTCTTCAGGTTTATTATTTTAGTATAGATTAAATACCTTTTGTAAGCTTTAAACGCAGCTTATGCACTGTGTTCCAATAATTCATCCGTTAAATACGTCAAAATGTAAAAAAGACAATCAAAATTTAAATATTCATTAAAATTACATCGTAGCACACGATTGCTACGCGAGTTCTACGGGCGCTACGAGTTATACGTTTATTTCATATGATTAGGATAACGTTTTAAATTTAAATTTATTTTCTTATTAACTTAGTGTTGCGATATACAAATATATAACGTAGTAAACAGATGGTTAATCTGTATGGATAAGTGCCTATATCTACATATTAAAAACTAGCGGCCCTACCCCGGCTTCGCACGGGTAGACATAAATAGGAACAGATATTTAAATTATAAGCATAATTAAAACGACCACGAATCACAAAATTAGAAAAAAATTGTATTCCTATTTGTTAACAACCTGCGAGCGTTCAGTGTTAAAGTCCCGTACACGCGTTCGCGAATATAAACTAATAATTATACAAAAGAAAATATTCAAGTTCAAAGCGATAGTTCTGAAAAGAACTTTGACAAATATTATGCAAAGTGTGATTCCTAATACTAATACTAAGTAGCTCCGAAAATAACTTTTTAAGTGAAGCATAAAAATGTAAAAAAATAACTCGAAATATTTAATGTCGTTCGCGCCCACCGCGTAAGGAGCCCACTGCTCTACTATTATTCACTATTTATTTGGATAAAAATGTATAAATGATATGGATAACACGGTTTGATTTTGATCGGCATTTCTATTAATTTGTTAAATGAAAAAAAGTAGTTATAGCGACGTAACTACAATAGTTAGACATATGCTCGCGATGTTTTTTGTAGATATTAATAATATTGTCGAACATTTTTTTGTCCTATCATTAATAGAAATACATTTTACGGCTTAATTTTTTACGCCTACCGTTGGTTTTAGTAAGAATTTCTATAGATGCATATAGTAAATAAGTACTAAATATAGCCTATGTTACTCAGTGATAATGTAGCTTTCTAATGAAAAAATAATTATTAAAATCGGTCCAGTACTTTTTGAGTTTATCCGTTACATACAAAAATACAAATCTTTCCTCTTTATAATATTGGTATAGATATAAACTTTTGCTATATTGTATTGAGAAAAGTGAAATAAAAGTATACACTACTCTATATAAAGATTGGCCTTCATTGAAGAACCATCGTGTTCTGTAGGTATCACAAAGGCAACCTCGAAAACCCTTGTGTTCGCAAGTCAGGTTTTTTTCAAGGGTTTTAAAGAAGGTCTTATTCATCACCTTTTAGCTTACGCTGAAGCATCTATTCTGTGATCGAATAGTTCGATAATATCTAGAGGGTGCTCAAACACTTTCAAGTGACTTATAAGATTATCATATACAATGGATAAGATTTGAAAGTAATTTAACGATAAAGACTACTTTATCTAGATTCATATATTTTTCATACTTATTATAGCTTAACCCGCTTTGTATTATAACCTTTTTAATTCTATGAATAGATATATACACTTATATAATATTTTCAATACATCTTTATAAATTGAAACATTATTTTGTTTTGATAATTATTAAACATACTTTATTATTTTCTTAGAATTTTGGTTCAAAAACCGCCTTGTCCTTCTTACTTGCTTAAGTCTTTGCGGCGAATAAAATAAATTATCCAAGTCACAACGATCAACAGTTAGCAGTTTAACCTATGCATTGTCAGTCAATAAGTCAGAACAAAGTATTTCATATGTATAACATTTTATGTAAGCATCTTATTGTATTATATACGTGTATTTATGGAACAAGCCTAAATGACAACAGCTTTAAAAGTTGCAAACCGTTCAATAAATTCAAGAGTAAAAAAATTGCTTTAAGCCCTGTGAATAGCACGAGGTGTACAAAGAAGGCTTTAGAAGTTTTATATAAGGTGTCACTTTAATCTTAATAAAACTTTCTATTTGTAAAGATTTTCTCATATTTATGAGCACAAATCTTTTCAATTATGTCATATTGCAACACAACATGGAGAAATAAAAGTCGACTTAAGAGATTCATGTAATTATTGTTTATATATTGTGACAAGTTTTGAACTAGATGTAGAGAAATATAATTTCGTTTCTGTGCATATTCACTAAAAAAAGGAGAAATCTTTAAAGGTTCTTTAAATTTTCAGTAACCGAGATTCTAGTCTTTCGAGAAATTAAAACTGAGAATATGTGCTAATATAATGAAGTTCTGCACTCTTTTTCTAGACGTAAAGCTTTGCAAATGAGGAATTTTAATTAAGCTGAAAAATTTAGACAAAGTAACATTCTAACGAAAAGTTATGCTACTGTAATTAAGGAATATTTTGACCCTTATGAGTTGTGGCACATTTGGTTTCTTGCTGTTATTGTTTCATTTTCGACCGCTCATTTCGTTTCGTGTAATACAAACATTATCTTAATAAGTTGATCTTATACATTATTTATGTTAATTTAAAATTATATTTTATTGAATTCATGATAGTTCTTTGAAAACTCCTTTGGCAAGGAGGGGGTTGTTTGCATCTTCTCTTTTTTAAAATGAAACGAGTACTATTCAAACATAATTTTTATAATACT